GGGGGGGGGGGGAGGAAGGGGTAACCAAAGAAATGGGGGGATGCTGATCAATCCCTCTTTGAAGGGTGGTTATGGCATGTGCACGTTTTGGATTGTCACCAATTTTTTTGAGTATTACCACCCTCCATTGTCACGAAAAAACCTCCTCTAAAGACAGTGTAAATGATGTATTTCTTAATATGGACCTGCTGAGGAAATCCTGAGGATGAAAGATGGATTGGAGTTTGTGAACTTCTTGAACCAGATCACCACCCCAGACCTCCCTATGCCCTTTTCTCCTCATCTGTCCCTACTCTCAAGCCTTTCCTCTCCCATCCTCCTTACCTCTGCCCCTCCACAGGGACCTGTCTGCCCCATCATCCTCAAAGTATGGGGTGGGGGGTTCATATCTCTCCAACATCTGCACATCGGTGACCAAAAGCCATTTCCTCCTGCCCATGCCCAGGTAAAGAAGCATCTGGATTTTAGGAGGTCAGATCCTTGGATTTGGGATTTGTCTTTAACCCATAATAAATACGTACTGATATTCTTTCTTGGGGGAGAAGGTCGCAAACAGCCCACACACTTTTTTTACCATGTTAATGATAAATTTTGTAAAACTTTAACTGGTTGAATTGCTATTCAACACATTGTCTCTGAGTTAGAAGGGGGTTGAAGGCCTCTAGGAGAGTAAACAGAGACAGGTCAAACCTCTCTTACAGATTCAGGCAATTCTCCAGTCAAGAAGCAATTTTCTGCCTGTTTTGGTTCTGGTTTTATGAACTAAGACTCAGCAGATTCCCCATCAGCAAATTCCCCACTCCACCACATGCAGTGCTATGTGGGAGGTTTGCATTTCTACAGGGAATGTCTCCTAAAATTGTCCATTCAAGGTGATTGCTGGGCAGATGTTAGAAATGGGTATTTGCAAACTCAACACCAACCTTTTCTGTTGTTTTCCTCCCTCTGCACCCACTACCTTTTGCAGAACCCAGGCACCCAGACTGCACAAGTCCTCTCACTGACAATGGTGGAGCTGGTGGAGAAGCTGAAGGAGGGGTCCTTGTCCCCAGAAAGTGTCCTCTACTCCTACATGGGCAAAGTGAGTGGTACCTCCAGCATGGGAGAGGTGGTGCAGAGCTCTTCTGCAGTGGGGACTTTCAAATTTAAAAACAGCTCATTTGCTGAGGGAACTGGCAATGCTGGGGATTACAGTTTGTCAATACTGTGATGTCTGAAGGGTGGTTTATGAGCAAATAAGTAAGACAGAGATCCAGGGCAGAAGATTATCCCAGCAAGAAACATCTAAACTTTTTAGGTAAGGTCTGAGTAATGAATAGTGGAGGTTTGAGGAGATTGAATTTCTATCTTGAAAACTCAGTTTAAATACTGTTTCCTTCCTTCTGTCCATTCATTGCTGCTCCTCTCTGTTCTGGAGAGGCTTTGGAGGTGACTCGGGAGGTGAACTGCGTGATAGACTTCATTCATGGCTGTGAGGATCAGCTCCAAAAACTGAAGAAGCAGAAGGAGAAGGGGCTGCTCTATGGCATTCCCGTCAGCATCAAGGACCACATAAACTGCAAGGTACATCCCTAATTCCTCTGCCTCTTGACCTGGGGCTGGGAACAGGCCAGGATATCTGGCTAAGAGTTTCCTCAGACAAGGATGTTCTGGACCAAATATTGTGGGACCAACAAACCTGCCTTTCTTCAGATGAAAATTTTGTTTTCTGCAGTAATTTCTAGCCTGTTCTGATCTGGTTTTCCCTGGGCTAGTCAGGTCCTGTTCTGCCTGTGAGAAAAATTAGGTTGGAACTTTGTCACAGGAGGCATCAGAACTTAAGTTTGTTATTGTTACAGCTTCAAACAGCATATTTCCTGGTACCTAAAGAGCTTTGCTTCCCATCCCCAAGGGCCATGTCTCTTCTGGAGGGATGGTGAAGTTTCTGGGCCAAGTGAAGGAGGAAGACAGCGTCATTGTCCAGGTTCTAAAGAGCCAGGGGGCAATCCCCTTTGTGAAAACCAACATCCCACAGACGATGATAAAGTAATCACGTGTTCTCCTTCATGTGCCTGTGACATGTGACTCTTGCTGTCTGAGAGAGGGTGGGCTGGCATGCACAAACTTCCACCCTTACCCAAGCTAATCATGCACATTGACTTAATTGCCTCCTCAATCTGAAATTATTTCTCTTATATTTGATGCCTCTTTCTTCTTAAATTTCGCTGTCCCAACAAATCTACTTCATGCTGATTCTACCTGCTGGGATTAATTCCACACTCATCCCTGCATGGATGCTCTGTGCCCTGTATTTATGGTTTCCAGAGACAGAAATACCTCACTCATCTGCTGATCTTCTCCCCAGCTATGACTGCAGCAACCTCATCTTTGGCCAGACACTGAACCCTCTGAACCACCAGAAGAGCCCTGGGGGCTCCTCAGGAGGGGAAGGAGCTCTGATCGCAGGAGGAGGCTCCATCCTGGGCATCGGGTCAGATGTGGCTGGCAGCATCCGCCTGCCATCCAGCTTCTGTGGGTTGTGTGGGCTCAAACCCACAGGCAACAGGATCAGGTACATCCCGACATCTGTCCTCTTCTTCCACCCACCATGGAGACTGCAAAGTGTCCCCCACAATGCATCAAACTTCGCAGTAGTGTCCGTGGTTTCCTCCAGTTTTAAGTTAGCACACTAACCTGCCTGGTTCCTTGTGTCAGCGAGGGCTAAGGTCTCTATTAATGATGTGGTGGTCTACATGTCATTAACACAGCAAAGACTTATTCAACTTTGAATAGCCCTGGCCGGGATGCTGCAAGCAAATACTGCAGGGTCATTTCCTTTTCAGATGTTTTCCAGCCCTTACTTTACTCGTAAGAGTTTTCTGTTTATCAGACGTGATTCGTTCACAGATGAGGAATCAGATGCACCAGGGAAACTGATTATAAAAAATGTCTCTAGCTCCTAGCAGCGTACAGCCCATGGCAGTCTTCCTAGCCTGGAAAGTGTCAAGTCTTTGCAGGACCTTTTGCCCTCCTAGATGTTGACTGGGAGCAACTCAGCATGGTGACCTGCCTTAGAGCAAGAGCTGCTGCTAATCTGCTTCTCTGTTATGTTCCTAGCAAACTGGGTGTAGTTTCTCCTATCACAGGAATGAAATCAGGTAAGACCATCCAGATGACATATTGCTACTGTCAAACTTTTGCTTCTTACATCTCCTCCTACTGCTGAAATGTCAGCAAATGTGCTTGCTCAGTTATATGTCTTGTGGCCAGTCAAAACCAGTGATCTAGCAGACCAGGGCTGCCTTGTGTGATTACCTTTTTGCACCACTTATTCTGTTCTGGACAGTGGCAGCTGAATCTGAGCAGCAGAGTAGTGAATCTGAGCAGAATCGAAGCAACAGCCATTCAGGAAGTGCAATGCATAGCAGTGAGAAATGTGTGAGATGTGCGTCCCAAAAGCCTAGGATATTTCACTGGAGATGCTTCCAGGAGACTGTGCTGGCATCAGCAGCTGGCAGGAGGTATTGCTGTTGGCAGGAGGGCTGCAGTCCTCCCTCCTCCTGAGCAGGGCCTGTGTCTACAGCAGCCTGGCCCAGGTCAGCCTCAGCAGGTTGCCTCTGCTCTGAGAGACTTACAGATGGTTTCTGCTGGATCTCCTTGCTCACTGGCACGTTACACTTGTTCCCCATTCCTCTTCCCTGGCCTGATCAAAACTCTTCCATGCTGGGCCCCACATAGTAACTGTGAGACAGCACCAGCCCATCTGCCTGCAGTGATAGAACCTTTGTGCTTGCAGTGACGGGGATGCTGGGGCCGATGGCAAGAGATGTGGACAGCTTGGCCCTTTGCATGAAGGCGCTGCTCTGTGAGGAGATGTTCCGGCTGGACCCCACCGTGCCCCCACTCCCCTTTGATGAGGAGGTAAGGCTCAGAGGCAGTGCCCAGCAACAAGATGAGATCTTGTGAGATTCCTGTCTGGTTTTACATCTCAAGATAGTGAAGGACCCAGGTAACCAAGTGTCCTGAACAGAGGACACCCAGCATGAGCGACCACAAGAAGCAGCCACACAACGGTGTTGGCAGGTCCCCATTGGCTTGCCCTGACGAGACCTGCCAGATACTGACTCCTTCCCTTCCCAGCAATGTCCAAAACAAGCTTGTTGGCTCCATCCTGGCCCAATCCCTAAAGGTGCTGATTTCTACTAAGGCATTCACCCCTCACACCTTTACTTAGAGATCCTGATTTAAGTCACTGACCTAAGAAATCATTGCCCTTTGCCATTAGCTCTCTGCTTCTGACATTTAATCATGTCTTTCCGGCTCAAGTTCTAGGATCCTAGGATCTTTCAGTTGTCCCCAACACCCAGACAATAAAGACCAGTGGCTTACCCTAGAGGAACAGGCCCCTGAACTCTGCGCCTAGCCAGGCATTCCAGGCATGTTCAGGTCTGCACAGGTGCTGTCACACCTGCTGTCCCAAATCTGGGACATGCTCACATGGCAAGAGGAGGTGTCAGAAAGACCACACCAAGGACCACTGCTGCAGACCTATGTTCTGGACAACACTGCTTTCCACCAGCCCTATTGCCCCCATCATTCCTCCAACCCAGGAGACCTTAGTTGCTGCCTTCCTGAGCCATGGGAATGGTCCAGTCTTGTACATCCTATGTGTGCAAGTAATGGCTCCTCTTCCCACAGGTTTACACCAGTTCAGAGCCACTTCGGATTGGGTATTATGAAGGAGACGGCTACTTCCAGCCCTCTCCCAGCATGAAGCGGGCCATCCAGCAGACAAGAAAGCTCCTCCAGGATGCAGGGCATACGGTGGGTTTTCCTGCCTGTGGTTGCCTGGAGCTGTTATCCTGATCCTTACAGAGTTTGGACAAGTCACTTCACATCTCCACTTTTGCTGCATATAAAACAGGGACCATCCCTCCCCGCTGCAAGGGTCATGAAGAGGAAGGCAAATTAAACAGTTTGCTTCTCAGACTGGAACGATCTTGATTATATTCCTGGCCTAGCAGACAGGAGAATCACCTTCAGATATCTTCAAGTCACCCTTTTTCTAAAGCACTGTTTTTTTCCATCATGTTTGGTGTTCCCATAAATATCAAGCTCACAAGAGTTTCCACAATCCCTAGCTGTTAAAAGCAGTTTACAAATTTCTTAGTGGGTAAGTGGGAAGGAGGTTGGAGCAGCTGACCCCACAGGGACCTCATCTAACCTAAATTATTCTGTGGTTCCACCAGCGGGGATTTCTATATGGGAGCTGTTCCAATAATGCAAATTAATTAAAAATACTTGGTGTTTTGAAGCCTCTAAAAATTCTTCTCTAATGTGTGGAGGAGTGCAGCCTGTGCCAGGTCATAATATGTGTGAATGCCTTGGAGATGTGAAAGGACAGTGAGCAGATGCTGCTAACCCAGGTCCCTTTGAAAATGGGGTCTTGCTGTCCTACAGCAGCAAGGAGGGCCTAAGCTTCCCAGCATGTCCCACTCACCTCACTAGTGAGTCAGGGAGGTTCACAGAGTGCTTTATGAATCATTTATCTTTTTTGCCTCTTGCACAAGGATGTTTTTCTTGCAGCTTGTTCCCTTTGCACCGCCCAAGATTGACTACATGGTAGATGAGCTGTTCACCAGAGGGATTTTCTCAGATGGTGCTGCTCGCTTGGTGGACTGCCTGTGAGTAAAATCTCAGTTTCATTGTGGGCCATGAGACTTGACACTTGTCACTGTTTGCATCCAGAGTGTTTATATTCTTGTGGGTGCAAACTGAATAACGAGCATCAGAGAAGCAATTTCTGGAAGGATGAATTTAACATGAGCAGCAGCTACTTTCACAGTAGCAGTTCACATACACGGATAATGCAGTCGGGTAATAAGAAACTGTGTGTCAGCACTGCTGTTGCAACTGGGTTTATGCGTGTGACTAGTCCATGGCACATGGGAAACATCACACATTATAGAACTTCCTATGGGGTGCCGTGGCTTAGCCCTGGCTCGTGGCCAAACACCCACACAGCCACTCACTCACTTCAGGGTGATACATGCCCAGGGTTGTACGTGGCCCCACAGCTGCAAAGCACTCCAGAGCCTCTATGGCACTGACAATACTGGCAGTAAAGTACTTCTTTCCCTATAACTTTTGCAGTGAGCCTTTACACCTGAGCATCTAAACCCCACATGAGCATCTCTTGTTCAGCGTTTCAGATTGAAACAGGGAGATTTTGTCTTCTAGCAACTCCCCTCTAAGAAAAACCCTGCTTTGGAAACAGCATTGCTGTTGCTGGAGCTCTGGCACAGATGACTTGTCATGACTTCACTCTCTGCCCTTCCAGCAAAGGAGACATCGTGGATCCCAACCTGAAATCCCAGTTCAATACTTACAGGCTTCCTGCTCTGGTGAAAAGGATCTTGGCTATCATTTTGAAACCCATAGTAAGTGTGCAGACGTGTCTCATCTGTGTTACAGGAAATCTGCAAGGTGGGGGAAATTTCCGTGTACAGGGAGGTAGGCTGCTCCCTTCTGGGAATGCTTTGCTGCTTTAAGTGCCTGATAGGCTTCGTACTGAAATACACTTAAATACACTTAGTCCCTAAACCCGTGCTGAACTTATCAAGCGGGTCTGACAGCCTTTGTGGAAGTTTTGCATGGAGAGGTCAAAATATGATCTGTTCTCAGGAACCCCTGAGCCATGCAGCTCATGCAGCAATGGGTTCCAAGAGAATGGGTATCACTAACAAGGGTCTAAACGGCATCCCCACATCCAGAAGATGCCCTCCAGGTTTAGCAGTGTGGTCTAGAGCTTTACTGGCATGGGTGGCTGTGGTTAAAAGTATAAATTATTGCGGGAGTAAAACTACTTCAGTGGAAACCATACCTGTTCTGCAGAGACACTTCTGCTAGGCCAAGAAGTGTTCCCAAAATGCAATCATGTATTAACCAGCTATTTCAGCTGCACTGTTGTTGACTAACCCCAAGTTTTTCTCTTCCCTCTGAAAGTACCCACGAATTGCTCGGGATCTCAGCGCTCTCTGTGGAGTGGGGTAAGGCTTACTGAAGTAACTCTAGAGAAAGGGCTTGCGCATGGATGTGTCCACAGCAGATGCCAGTTTGTTGTGCAAAGCCCCGTCATGGGGCTGTGCAGCACAGGCTGAGCCAGATGAGTATATGCTGCCTCAGCACCACCTGGGCTTAGCACAGTGTTATCCAGGGCTATGCAGCCAGAGATTATTTTAAGAGCTGAAGGATCCTTGTCATGTCAGGTCTAGGATGTCTCCATGGAGATCAGCACAGAGAGATACAGGCTACTTTCTCCAGCAGGTGGATTCTGATACGCAGAGCATCATCTGCCAAGTTAATGCAGAGATCTCTGCATGCAGGTCCAGTGTGGTGTGAAGTACCTGTCCCTCCAAGAGAGACTGAGACACAACACACTGGGAGCAAATTAATTTAGAAGACTGCTATAATCTTTGTCTAGGTGCCAGAGCACCTAGACATGGTGGTGTGCTTTTAATGTAAGCTCTTTTGATGTACCTGTAAACACATACGAACCCAGTGGAATTAGCTGGGTGATCTTATAGCTTGTTCCCAGAAGGGTCATGCTGTTTCCATAACAAAAAAAAAAAAAATAGTGGGCTGCCTGTGCAGTTTGTTAATTGTTTTCTGTTGCCACAGTCCCAAAGCTGATTAATTCTGCCACTTTTCCAGGTCTGCCAAAAACCTTTGGGGTCAGCATGAAGCAGTGGCGGTAATGTGATATTTTTTTTTTCCCTTTACTAAATATAGTGAGAGATCCCCAAAGTTTCTTAGCAATTGCTTTGAGCTCTGTGATGGATTTGGGGTTGGAAATGGATCATGTGGAAATAAAGCATTGGGTTTTTCTCTGAAAGTCAAGATTTGCAAGGAGTGGTAAGAGCCCAAGGCAATAGACGTTCATTTGGCGGTCTCTACTTACTAGAGGATGGGGAGGAAAGATTATCCTTTGCCCTGCATTTCCTAAGCAGAAATAGCATAAGAACAGCCGCTACAGGTTTTTTTCTTCTTTCCATCTGTTGGTGCAAATTCTTCATTTCAGACGTTAGGTGCTATTGTCACTAGCTAAGACCATGTTTGAAATGTCAAGCAGAGACCTTAGGAGTCGAAAATTGTGGTTGTGAACTCCTTGGCTCAGGTGGATTTTGTATGAACTCATTTGGGATCAGGAACATAGAACAGCACACATTCTCCTGGACAACTGAGTCCAGTGCTGCTCACAAACTGATCAGGTTCCTCTTTATGCTTTGTCACAGATGAAAATATTTGACACAGTTGTGATTTGGTAGCAATTTAAGATTTATTAATAGTGTGAGGCAGACAAAAGATCAAATTTTAGCAGTACTTAATGATCAATCAGTTTAAAGATTAACAAGGTGCTTTGGTAGAATATGTTATAATTAAAATAGTGAATAATTACAGATTTGAGAATGACAAGATTCACACTAACTTACTACATGGCTTTTTAAATCAAAGTGTATATATATGTATATATGTATAAACACAAAACATACACACAGAGAGCATGGAAATATTTGGATATCCAGTAAAATACATAGACATCCACACTCGTGAAGGCAAATTTGCATATTTAAGCACATAAATAAGTCAAGAGGTGGATGGGAGAGGCTAGCCTATAGTTAAAATTTCTGTCTTCTCGAGTTTGGAGCAAATACTCACAGTGCATCAGTATTTCTCAACGGGTGATAATTGAGAAGAAGTCTGACCTTACCTTGGCCTTTCATCAGCTTTGTGGGCAGATGATCTTCAAACCTCGAGGAGTCTGTGCCTGAGAGGCATCCCAGCTCAGGGGAGTTGCTGGTCATAGCCCACTGCAATCCATAGCCCACTGCAATCCAGGAGAGCTCGAAGGGTCTCGCTTAGGGTCTCTGTTTATAGGGTCTGAGATAGTTGACTTCCATCAGATAGTTTTCCATTTCAGCCCAACTTGGATGGTGGAATATTCTGGTACTTTCTACCAGTTGCACAAGCTTGCTAGGTCTTGGAGTTCTGGTATTACTCCCTTTGGGCCATAACCCAAGTACAGATGTACTAGGCTGTCAGGAGGTATTGATTATTATTATTGTTCTTAAGCAATAAGGGAGGGGGGCAGGAACCAGCTAGGTTAAGGGCATGTCTTAATGCTTTGGTCCATGGCCTTTCCCAAGCCATTTTGAGTTGGCGTGTGGTCCATTCCCAAGTGGTAGGGGAGACAGAAATCAGGTGTGTCAAAGGAGTGCCTTAACATTCTGGTCTGCTGCCTTTCTCAGTTGATCTTGGGGCGGCATGTGCCCCAGGGGAAAATTGCACTAAGCATCAAGCAGCGCAAAAGAGGAGGCTGAGTTGCACCATCACATGATCGCATTTGTTTTTATTGGCCAGCTTCTCTCCTCCCTGCTCTGATTGTTAGAAACCTTCATATTTTCCATGCTGTTTATTCACTTCCAGTTTATCCCCGTTTTATTCTTGTTCTTGTGCTTAAGTAGCGCCTCTCCTCTCTGGTATTTTCCACTGCCTCCCTCCTCCTTGATCTATTTATAGACAGCAATCTTTTCAGCTGGTGTTTTGCAAGGCTGAAGAAGCTGAGCTGGTTTGGTGTCCTCCCACAGGGCAGGATCTGTGTTCCCTGGGGCATCCTCATAACCCTCCCCGAGAAGAAACGTGCCCCCAGCCTGTACCACGCAGCCTCCATCAGTGCCAGTCACTCGATGAACGTGCACACTCACTTGCAGCAGGTCTGACAGACTACAGGGCAGAGGGAAAACTCCTGCAAACCTGCCTGGTCACTGGGCTGATGGCAGTGTTTGGAACAAAATGGCTTTAGGGTTTTTTTTTACGTGAAAAGAGATTCCTCTCCCCCCCCCCAAAACAAAACAAAACAAAACAAAACAAAAACACCAAAAACCAACCAACAACAACCAAAAAGAAAACTCTTTTAAAAGTTTGTTGGCCTCGGAGATATTTTGAATCATTTTTCTTCAGTGAAACCATACTCACATTTTTTCATCTACTGAAAACAAGAGCTGATTCAAAACCTTTGGCTAGTGATCAGCTTTTCTCTCAGAAAAAAAAAAAATCAGGTTAGCTACACAGACTGTATTTCCTGGAAACCCATCTCATTTGTTGAATTTTCAGCAGGAAGGATCTCAGACTGCAGATGGAAATTGAGGTCAACTAAAAAACAGCCTCATGGCTGGGACTTCTGTGAGAGATGGAGAAGACCCTTGTACAGAAAGCCTGGAGTGAGAGAGTTGTGCAGAGCAGGGGCTGGACCATGGGACAAATGTGTCCTGGTAACCAGAATATGGCTGCAGAAGCAGCCATACTGTGGTCCACCCATGTCTATGTACTAAGACAAAGTGGAACAGCTCTTTAGGATGGATTTATTCATTGCCTGATGTTCAACAAAGCTGCATTAAACCAGACTATAAATCTAGATCTCTCTTGGATCTACAGTACAAGCCTGAAGCTGTGCCTCCTGCATGGTTGGGGGAACACCTCGGGCTTGCCTAGCTGTCTCTTGCTACTTCTTTTTCTTACCTGTATCCTGATGCAGAATGAAAGATTTTGTGAAAATATTTTTAACTCGTGTCTCCTAGAGTCTTCTACCAAAATAACCAAAGCTTTTATGATTTTTTTTTTTTTAGCCAGCTAGACATAATTGTTCAAACTACTGTTGATCTCCATTCAATAAAATTCAAAGACAAAACTATTCATAGAAAGGATTGAGTTAGTACTTAAAGAAATCAACTCTGAAATGCCCACTTAGCATTAATGTCTAGGTTTGGGCAGCACATGGTATTCTGACAAGAAACCTAAGGGTGGAAGAACAAAATCCATTGGCTCTTTCAAAGCACAGCTCAGATTTTATCTGATTTTTCAGTTGTATCCAGGAAGGCTTTTTTCTCCTTTTGCCATGCTATAGGCATTGATCTGTCACTGCTGTTCAACAGACATTGTTTGTCATCTCCTCTATCTTTCCTTCTAGGCTTACTGCACTGAATTCATTGCTAAATGGAGGAAGCTAAGGCTGGATGTGATTCTTTGTCCTGCGCTGGGCCCAGCCTTTAACCATGGCTACGCTGGGAAGTTATTTGGTAATCACTGAGGTGTCTCTGGATGCATTCATGGTGCTGACTGTGGGCAGAGCTAGAGCAAGATTTTGGTCTCTTGGACATTCCCCACATCATGTGCAGTGCTTGGTCTTCCCTCTAGGGAAGAAAGCAAAGGAGAGGTCTCCTCTGGGTGGGTCTTCTCATGCCCCCACCTCATCTGAGCTGCAGGTGTTTGGATTATTATGGGGCAGCAGCTACTGGCACATCTGTCCCAGTCATTCGTGGCTGAGTTTGCCCTGCATTGTCTGTCCTGTGGAAAGCGCAAGAGCTACTCTTGCAGCAGAGTGGCTGTGAGGATACATGTCAGAGGGGTAGCAGACTTTAATACAAGGCCAGGCTCTCCTGAATCTGGCTCTTGCATTTCCCAAGAATTTGCAGAGAGCAGAAAGGCTTGTTGTCTGTGACTTGCAGAAAAATGCCTATTTTTTTATAGCTTCCAGTAAACAGTCATCATCCTCCACCTCTCTAGCAATGGCCCTTTGGGATCCAAAATCCCCAAGACAGTGTTACAGAACCAGACATCTGGGTTATCTTGCAAAGATAGCTGGGATTTTCTCCTGGGGTATGTGAGACATAGATGCAGACTCTGAATCAGACCAAATACTTGTATCTCTCTTCCAGAGTAGATCTAACCTCCACCCAACTGACAGGTGAAGGCATGGGTCTCTCTCTGGTTTCAGCAGCCATGTGGCCCGAAACCCATCAAAAGTCGCTTTGAAAGCAGCATGTTTCATGGTTCCTTCAGGTCCAGCAACTCCAATTCCTGTGACCTAAATCATCATCTGAAAGTCATTTCTGACCCAGCACACTAAATCTTGCCATTTTGCATGCTTTGTGTGATCTTTTCCAGCTGCGACCTCCTATACCAATTTATACAATGTCTTAAACTTCCCTGCTGGGGTGGTGCCAGTCAGCACGGTCACAAGAGACGACGAAGAAGAACTGAAGCATTACCGAGGGCACTATGGAGACCCTTGGGATAAGAGGCTGAAAGAGGTCAGTGGGGAAAGAGTTTAAGTCTTAGCAGAAGGTTATGACTGGTACAGTGACACCTCTGGCATGTTGTCCCAAGGCTTATCTTGTCCTGATGAGACTGGGAGCTTGTTTAGTAACGTAGTTTGCATACACCATATTACTACCCTGCATGTGGTGCAGCTAGGCTGGTGTACATCAGCCTGACAATTGTCTCACTGTCCCCTTGTATGTCTTCCTTTGTCTTCTCTTCCTATAATGTCAAAAGACAGAGTTTGCTCTTGTGCCTCCCCAGGTGCTCTGGTGCTCTGACTCAGCACCGTGCTTAATTTTTGCAGGCTGTGGAAGGAGCTGTGGGGCTGCCAGTGGCTGTCCAGTGCGTGGCTTTGCCATGGCAGGAGGAGCTGTGCCTTCGCTTCATGAAGGAGGTGGAGACACTTGCCCACAACACCAAGAGAAATGTGTGATTTCTGGGAACCAACCTTCACTATGATGACTTTTCACTCCCTGCCCTTCACTCCAGCCACCTTCTACCTGATGCACAAAGCAAAGTAGATAGTGACCTGCAGACTCTGAACCATTGTTTCAATAAACTGGCAATGAATGCTGTTTAAAAAAAGCAAAAATCTTGTCTCTGTCCAGATTTTCCTCTGTTAAACTGAGTCAAAAAAAACAAAGGAATGAAAGTTATTTCTGGACCAAAGAAGTCCAATAACTACAGTGTAACAATACCTGTTGCATGATATGAGACCAAAGAGCTGTTTACCCCAATATTTTACTTCCACCTGAGCAGGAGCAGAAGTTTGTGGGAGAGTATAACCTGATAAGTGGAGGATTCCCCCTCTGGCTATGCCATTGGTTGGCCAAAGTACTGTTTGGCAAATAGTTGCAGTCAGCCCATCATTTTTAATAGCTGTCAGGAAAGCTCTCCTTAATGAACTTGTTGGGCTCTTTCCTGAAGTCACTCACTCTTTTGCTCTCCACACCATCTGGTGGCAGTAGGCTCTGCAGTGAGTAGTGAAAAGCTGAATTTTCTCTGTTTAAGCATAATCTGTGAGGAATGGTAACTGGTCTGTCTTCACTCCTGTTCCTCATTGTTTCTTCCAGTTAAGCAATGGGAAGAAAAAGTTGGGATTTTTTATTGCTTGTAAGCACTTGTGGGAAAACCGAGTTTAAGCATTTCTGGGGCTATGTTTAGACCATCCGCACTGTGCTGTTTCTCGGCCTGTCCTTCACTCTCAAGGTGGTGGAAGAGGCTGGAAGGGAAGGTAGGAGTGATGGAGGAGACTGAAATGCTTTGAATTAGCAAGTGTGCCTTGAAACAAGGCACCAATGTTAGCGATGATCCGTGCCTCTCCAAGCCTACATATGTCTCCAAGGCACTGGGACTGGAGTCAATATTTCCCCAACAGGAGAGAGCCACAGGGCCAAGGGGTGACACCGCTCTTGTTATTTATTTGTCATTGCCTGCCTGGGTCTGCGCAGGGATGCTGCAGTCACCCAGCAGCCTCACACGGTCACCGGCAGGTCTGAGTCACACAGGGAGTCCTGGCTCCCCAGCCTGACCCACCACCCCTCTTTTCAGCAGGGGTAGGGAGAAGGTCCAGGGCACCACACTCACAGCCCAGCTGCCAGAAGATGCCCTGCCTCTGCAGAACTGCTGCTGGGCAGCACCAGCCACAGAGCTCCTGCCATGACTATCTCAGGCCAGGAGCAAAGGATTTTTAGCTGTCCTCTCATAGGGAAGATGGGAACTCACCATTAAACAGGTAACCTGCCCAGGTAGGATTCCTGGCTAGATCTGAGTATGCACAGACCTTGTTTTGCAAGGAAAGTGCAGTGTCCTTTGCTCATGTATCCCTCCATATCTTTGCAATGCTGAAGGAAGTGAAAGGGTCCTATTTATAAAAGGAATTTCCCTATGCATACTTGTGCTCTGCATTCCAGCTGCTCTTTGTGGGTGGCTCTGGAAGTATTTGCTGTTCCTCCTGCTCTCCTCTCTCCTGCCTCCAGCCAGTCACTAAATCTCAGGAATGCACATCATTAGGTCCCAGGACCCAGCACCCAAAGGGAAGTTCTCACTGTGATCCAGCAGATATTGAAGCAGAGTTTGTGGGTGCTGTCAGCCCTGGTTTGCAGCTCAGCCAAAGCCCTCCTGGCACAGAAGTGGATGAGGTGGACACATGTCCAGAAGAAGATGGACGAGGCTTGTAGGAAACAAGATGCAGGTTTGGACCAGATATAGGGAATTTAAAGAGCAGGTAAGTGTCTCAGCTTGGCAGAGAGCAAAGCACCCCCTGAGTAGAACTCGGTCCTTCTCAAGACACGTTGTCCATGATGTCAGTTGGCTTTGCTGTATAAATGTGAGGGAAAAGTGGAGAGGGCGATGCTGAGAGCAGTCTGGTGAGCTCAGGTGCTGAAACTCAAAGAGGGAAAGGCCTTTAGTAGGGCATAACTTCAGGTTTGCACGAAAATTCTTCTTCCAGACCTCTTCTGGATTGGAGAGAGGATGTCAGCTCCTTCCCACACCCGCCAGCACAGTGCTGCTGTGTTTCAAAGCTTTCCATGGCTCCTTCACCATGAGCTGTTGGCTCAGGCTGCACAGCCCTTGCAGACCTACACCATGTGTTTGCAGAGTGCTTGTCCGGCTGCCTGGCACTGACCAAAGTCCAGGCTTTGGTCTGCCTCAGAGAATTAGGTAGTAATGCTGCTTGGGCCCAAAGGGCTTTGTTTCTACTAGTTTTTCTCATCTCCATCACAAAAGGCTGTGGTCTTTGCTTTGATCATTTTTCCTCCTTCCTCCTGATTTTAATAAAAATTCAAATCTGCTCTCTTTAACCCACATTTTATTCTGTGGCCAGATAAGGGCGAGAGATTGAGTTATCAGACAATCCAGCTTTTTCATTTGGTTTTACTTCAGTTTGCAGGGTTTTTTTCTTTATTTTGCAGGCTAGACTTGTAGTCACAACATCAGGAGCAAATAAAACTCTCTAGAAGAACTGGTATCAGCAGAACCTGAGTCATTAGGACGGGTCACTTGGCTTCTTACAGTATCCAAAGCAAACAGAGCTCTCTGATATAACAGAAAGTGGCAGAGACCATTAGAGACATGAGTGTCCCCAGGATCCCAGACATTCATCTCAAACAAGTTTCAAGGGAGGAGGTAGTTAAGTAGCTAAAAGCAAATGTTTAAAAAATAGGTGAAATGTAACACCTTGACACAGCAATGCTCACCCCTGAAACATAAGAATGCAAGGATTAGAGTCAGTACATCTTTCATTCTGAAACAGCTGTTAGCTGCACAGATCCTGATCTCTCCAAGCACGGTCTCAATCTGCTGTCCTAATTTGCACTCAAATCACCTGGCTTCCCCCCTGCCCAGTTTGCCCACGGTGAGACCAGTGAAAAGCCCAACTTGCTGTTGTCAGCTTTGTGCCCAGCCATGGAGCAGCTGGAAACATCCTAGTCCTTCACCAACAGGGTGCTGAAGTCTCTGCTGTCACTTGGTGGGGACAGACCTGTGCAAGACACCAGGCATGACAGAAGAAGTAGGAATGCTCCTTGACTTCTGTTGAAGAACTAACAGCTCTCTGTAGCTTCTTAGCTGATGGTGTCTCTACCTTGTCGGAGAAGTTGTAAGTAGGTTACATACAACCCACTTGTCTATGGAAAGGCCCAAGGGAAACTACAGTACCCACAAAAGCGGGAAAGATGTAGGGATGGTCAGGAGAGAGAGCAGCCCCTGCTGCAGAGGTGTGAGGGTTGGTATGGGAGGTTTCTCTCCCCGTTCTATTGCAATTTATTCAGGGAGAGCCAACAGTCTCCTGGCTGAGCAGCAGGAAAAAGGGGTGATTGAAACAGACCCTCACCTCTCAACTGATGTTCTTGGTTGCTGGAAAGGTGCAGATTAAGTAGTGGCAAGTTTCTTACCAGCTGTTGTGTTCTGTGAGTGTTGGTGGGGTTGGACTGGAGTTGAGGAAAATCTCATGCTTCCAAGAGATATTCCAGGCTGAAATGAGTCAGAAACTGGAGAGTACCCAGAAAACATTTATTCAGCCCTCTGAGACAACTGGAATAACTTCTCCAGAGGAGACCAGCCCATTTCACTGTGATTTCAGTGTTTTGTGAAACGTCTTTAAAATTCTTTCAGAGAAGCGTAGTTAACATACCTAATTTTGTAAATTGTTTTGAAAAAGCACATCAGAGTGTTTGGTTCCAAAAACATGAACATGAGATATAACTGTCAGGATTTATTCTTTGTTGTTTTAATCAAAATAGAGTCAAAGCTGACTTAAAAATTATTATTAGCAATTTAGAGGGAAGACAGTTTAGCGATAGGAAATTTCTGTCAAAACCCAACCTGCTTGAGAGCTGAAGGTGTTGGATGGAGTGTGATGACGGTGTCAGTGCCATTTTGCTTTTGCAAGCATAGAAAGTGCAGCTCTTGCTGGGGACAGGAGTGGACTGTCCGAGTTGGTCTAACTGCCTTTTTTCTGTGATGGTCCAAAGTGAAGGTGATATCATGGATGCCACAATGAAATCCCAGACCAGCTGCCACAGGCTGACTCTTCTTGTGAAAAGGATCTTGGCTTTCATTGTAACTTCACTGGTGAGTTTGACCCTGGACCTGGATGGATTGAGGTGAGAAAAATATTGCAAAATTGTTGCACTTGGTCTTGGTTGTTTAGTGCACACCAGCACAGCATGGAGGAGTGAACACTGACCTGTGAGTCAGGCAGGTCTTGTCTTCTCTGCCATGGATTTGAGATTTGACTTGGGACATCCCTTTGTTTCCCTGCCTCGGTTTCCCCATGGGGACAGTGCTCTCTCTCTCTCTCAGCAGGCTTTTCTCCCAAGCATCCTTGCTCCCCTTTGCATAGATGTGGGTCCACACAAAGCCCTCCACTATGACCCAGCCCATCTGCCTCCATGTAACTGCTCCCCTCCGTGGCAGGGACGCTTTCATTTTATATGGCTCTTGGAGTGCTTCAGCAGGTCTACTCATAGGGTGCAAATCAGGCTGGGATTTTGACACCATCCCAGTCCTGAGGCCAACCTTCACTCCCTCCAGTCACTCGCCACTGCCTGTGTCCCTGCTGCAGGCTGTGGCAGGAGCCGTGGGGCTGCCCACAGCTGTGCCATGCATGGCCTTGCAGTGGCAGGAGACATACCTCCGGCTCATGAAGGAAGTGGAGATGCTCACACATTGATATGAAAGAGGCTTCCTCAGCAGCATCCGGCCACCTGGAAAAGCAGCTGCGCCTGCTGATAAATCTGCCCTTTGAAACGCCAAGTCAATCTGGACACAGCTGGCTCTGCCTCCGTTAAACATTTGCCGAGTGTCTAAAGGGCAGGATCAGAGCACAGGTCCCAGTGCACAAGGAGTTGTGGGAAGCCAATGCCCTGACGCTGTGCAGCATGGGGAAAAAACCTCCCATGTCCACTCAGCCCATCACAGAGGTTATGTTTTATGTTGCTGTCACGCAGGCAAATAGCCCACCTCTGCCTCGGGAAGGCCTTGCATGGGTTCCCGGGGGCTGGGAGAGGGCTGGGCATTGCTGTGAGCTGACCCTGTCCACATGTGCCTTCTGGAGGCACCTGCTAAAGCCAGCACATGGACCTGGAGTGGGAGCTGGGTGGGCTGCAGGCATGTCCCCATGCCACTCCTCTCGTAATGCCAGCAGTGCCTTAGCTGAGGAGGCATCCCCTGAGCCAGGGTGCCACTGAAAGGGAACACAGCAAAAGGCCAGCTTAATTTGTTCCCATGTAGCTAATTTCTGCCAGATCCAGACTGTTTCTTAGAGGATGCCAAAGCCAGTTTTGTTCAGAGTCCTTCCAAGTGAATTTTTATAACTGTTAAGAACGGACATGACAATGGATAAAAAAGCAGGCATTAGAGGACTACCTAGCCCTGATGAGAGAAGGCTCCTCACCTTCATTTCCATATCCAGTTTCACACTTTCTTGGAGCAGGATCAGGTTCTGGGCCTCTAGCCATCAAGGGCAACCTTGCAAAGTTTTGTAATGCACAGTCTAGCTTTTTTCAAAGTGGGACACATAGGAGGACTCACCATCCAAAACCAGCAGAGATCACAGACAGATCATGGCACTTGTTTTGGGGCTGATAGTGCCTGGGTTGTTGCTTTCAGCTCAGTGCATGGTTCTTGTGTGCTTGTTGTGAGAGGCATCTGTGCTGGAAAGACCTCAGACACTAGCTGTACCAACGTCTGTTTTAAGTAGTTTGCTTCTGGCCTGCAACCCCGTGGGATTTTCCACTCATAAGGCAATACCAGCATGCTCCATCACGGGGTGGAATAGCCTCTCATCTGGTACATGCAGACATCATGGCAGTGCTGAGCACTATTCCACTGGCCTCCTGAAACAGCCTCTTGGCCACCATAAGAGCAGCATAGGCTAAGGGATTTGGTGAGTGAGTGGGTGCCCCACAGCTACGCATCCTCTTGTCATACCATCCCCTAAACCCATGCAGGGAAGTATTGTGATTTCAAGCTGTTTTTTCCCCTTCTCCCATTGTCCTTCAGGCCACACAGGAAATAGGAGAGGAGCTATTTCCTTGCTTCTTTTGTTCAGCTGATCCCACAGCCCTTCCTCCCCAGCAGAGAACTTCCCGCAGCCCAGAAAGCCCCTATAAACCCGATGCCTCAAGGTTCACTGGCCAAACTTCACCTTTTCCATTTCCCAGTCAATCATTCTCCACTGCACGCTCGGCTGAAGGCAGCTTTGCAGGGGTCAGCTTTGGACTTACAAACTATTTACTGACCTGAAGCGGTGGTGCTGGGAGGAAGGACAGGTCTGGGGAGGCAAGGAAGGGCTCTTGCTCCTACCTTGCTTTTCTTTCTCACTCCATCCCTGCAGACCAGAAGCCCACATTATGATCCAGTACCAGCTGAGGCAGGTCCTGCCAGAGAGGAAGGTAGATCCTTCTGCTGCCCTTGCCTTGCTCTGCAGCTCAGCAGCAGCCATAGTGGTCTGGAAATGGCTGGTCAAAAGGCAAATCCAGAAGAAAATGGAAAAGGCTCGGAGGACCCAGAATGAGGGTTTGAAGAAAATGGCAAAGGCTGTCCAGCAGTTCAGGGAGCAGGTAACCTGTCCTTCTGGGGGGTCTGAATACCACCGGGGTGTCTGATGATGTTGCTCTTCAGCTCCTCCTTCCAGTTCATGGCTCCATAGATTTTATAATGACTCCGGGGAAGATGTGCCAGCAGCCCTCAACAAGAGGAAAGGCTGCCTTGAGAGGAAGGGAGGTCACTGCTCTCTTCAAGCTGGATGAGATACAGTGAGAGTCTACAGCCATGGAGATGTGAATTACTCACTGGGAAGAGGTTTTGGACAGTACAGGTGATGAAGCACTGGACCTTCATTGATCCAAAACCCAGTTCTTTCAGGATCTAGAAATGTCTTTTGCCTCTATGGGCAGAAACAAGAAAGCTTTTTCCTCTTACTCCTAAGTTTGCACATCTGTCCACATCCCTATATCTTTCTCTCTAAAACCAAGCATTTGGATGGCTCTTGGAGAGAATTCAGGAGCTTTTACTCAGGTTCCTAGCCTCCTGGCCCAGCAGGCTGACCAGAAGATGCTTGGCCTAACTTAACGCTAATGAAGCACAGGGAATTCAGTGTCCTCCCGGGAACAACTAGGACATGACATGGGGAAAAATGAGGCAGGCACCCAACTGGCATGGATGTGGCCCTGAATTCCTACTGCAACACTGATGTCTAACCACATTTCCTTCCTGTTCCATTTGCTTCTGAGTAGCTATTGGTTAAACCAGCTCATGTTTACACAGGTAACGTACCTGAAGATAAAGCATACAAGCTACAGGTGGTACATATCTTCGCAACATTTTTTCTTAAATATATGTATATATAAATATGGTGTAAAACCTTAAAAAAAGGTGGTGACCTTAAAAAAGCTGGTTATCAAGCTCTGTTGATAATGGTGGCAAAGCTTATCCCCTTTGAGCCAAAGGGTAACTGGAGCTGCTGTCCTGGCATCTCCTTTATCTTCCCTTTGCAGGTCCCCAGTGTCCAGACAGATGCCATCCTGTCCCTGCCCCTGCTGGAACTCGCTGGGAGACTACAGGAAGGGTCTCTGTCCCCCAAGACTGTCCTCTACACCTACTTAGAGAAGGTGAGTTCTTGTCCTTAGTGTGATGGGCAAATCACTTACGTTCTCCATGCCATGGTGTGTGGGCTGGTGGCTGAGAAGACTTGCTGAAGTGGTGATAATGACAAATTTTTAACATAGCAGATATCAGGAGAAAGATATGAAAAGTCAGGGCTTTATCTCCTGGGCCAGACACATCACTGGACAGTCTTTTGAGATGGTTTGGACTGGGATGCTCTGTAGAGGTTATTCATGCCAAGCCACAAGCCCTTGCTTTGGAGATCCAGGTAGGTACTAAAAGACACTGTGTAACGGTGCTGTTCTTAACTAACACCTATTCCTCCATGTGTCTGGCAAAGGCCCTGGAAGTGACCCAGCAGACAAACTGCTTGCAACATTTTATCCCAGAGTGTGAGGAGCAGCTCCAGGAAATACAACAGCAGAGGGAGAAAGGTCTGCTCTACGGCATCCCAATCAGCATCAAGGATCACATCGGCCACAAGGTGCTTCCCTTTGTGTCTGTGAAGTGTCCCATCATGAACTGGGCTAAAGTGATGGGACATGGAGAATGGGGAAGGGGCCCAATCCCTGCCTGCTTACACCACAGGAAGCCTGGCTGGGTCTGAGGCTGTTGCCTCACATCTCATTGCAGCTGCAACCCTGTCAGTTAGAACCCTTCACCAGCAAAAAACCCAAGAAGTCAATAGTTATATGCCCAAATGATTTCTTCTCTGATACATGAGACAGCACAGGCTGGGCTACGTGGTTGTTTGGGCCATAACTTAGACTTCTATGCAGAGGTTTGCAGTTATCGGGTATAAGAAAACATTGTTTAGCTTCCAGAAAGTCATTAGTAGCAGGAGCCATTAACCTTGAATCCCTGTTGGGCTGTAGTCTGGCCACAGAGCCACTTAGAAAAGAGCCTGTGCATGAGATGCACCAGGGACCCCCTCACAGACAAGCCCTGATGAGGATTGACCACGGACTCCTGAGATGAATTTGTTAGGCAGTCTCCTCCATGTTGACTTACTAACACAGTTAAGAGGACTCAAAGCCCAAAGCAAGCCCCAAACACTAAGGCTAACTGAAAAAGGATCACAGTGTATTTGTCTGGAATGTATATTCCCTCCCTGAACATCCACTGGTGGCTCCACTTGGACAGCAGGACACTGGGTTTCATCCTGAGCTAGTGCATCTATGGAGTTGCATCTGGGTCAGGGGAAAGAAATGACATGAAAAAGAGCAAGGACAGCTTCAGGAGAAGCCTTAACTCTATGACTGTTTGGCAGCCCTCTGCCAAAGATGGAAGGAGAGGGAGTCCTTGGCCCTTCATGCAAGGATTTGCAAGGAAGTGGGTTAGCAACCACCCCACCCCCCGCAAAGAGGACACCAGATCATCCTTCCAAAACTGCAGGGGAACTGTGCTGACCGTGTCCATTGTCACTTCTCCTCTCTGCAGGGACATCTGTCAACGTGTGGACTTGTGCAACGCCTGGGCACTGTGGTGCAGGAGGATAGCGTCCTAGTCAAGGTTTTGAAGAGACAGGGGGCCATCCCATTTGCAATGACCAACGTGCCACAATCCCTCTTCAAGTAACACACTTTATTAGAAATCTCTCCTCTGGTTGTGCTCCCGAAGCTAAAACCCAGCCTGTAGGCGCCTGGACAGGCTCCTTCCTGTCTCCTGAGATGTTACCTGGATGAGTTCCTCTTCCATCAGCTGCCAAATATCTCAGTTCAACTGAAAACAGCTTTTAGATAAGATTAAGAGGAAAAAAAAAAAACTACCATGACATAAGAGAAATCAAGCACATTTGTGCATGGGAGGGAGAGTGGGAGCTCATGGGAACGAGCCATGTTCCCAGGGATTTAGGGGCTGGAAGGATGGGGTTGGCTATGCCACATAAGCTCACTGCAAGGGAGAACCAACAAACTCAAGGCATTAGACTGTTTCTGACAGCCCACTTGCTGGTTTTCTTCTCCCCAGCTATGACTGCAGCAACCCTGTCTTCGGCCAGACCTTGAACCCCTTCAACCACCAGAAGAGCCCCGGGGGCTCCTCAGGAGGGGAAGGAGCTCTGATCGCAGGGGGAGGCTCCATCCTGGGCATCGGCTCGGACATCGGTGGCAGCATCCGCCTGCCATCCAGCTTCTGCGGGCTGTGTGGGCTCAAACCCACGGCTGAAAGGCTCAGGTAGGTGATGGGGCCTGCCCTTCCCACCTTGCAAGAAGCCTGCTAATTGTCAAACCCAGAAGAAACAAGGTACTCAGTAAGTACCTGGGGGCAAAGGAGAGGATGTTTTCCTAAAGGCTGTCTTACCTTGCTCAAAATCTCTCCCAAGAAGCAGCATTGTTAAATTTTGTAGGGAAATGGCCTATTTTCATTGTAAATCTGGCCTGGGTTAGAAGGAAAAGGGGGGGAAAGTGGTTAAATAATGCCAAAATGGAACATTTTTTGTTAAACCAAACTAAGATTTCTTGAGGTTTTGGTTTTTTTTTTTTCATTTTGACCAAAATTTTCTGTTTCACAAGACTCAAATCAAATACTTTTAATAATTTCCTTCTGGTTCGGGTCCTGAATTGAAGACTCTGTTGTGTTATTCAAATACATTGAGAATATCTCATCATGACTGAAATTACAATATACTTCTTTTTCTTTTCCCACAGCCTGTCTGGAGCAAGTGGCCCAGTCAGTGGGATCCTGGCAGGTACATGAATTTTTAATTGCTTTTCTCTATATGCTGTGGCAAGTCCTTTGTCCTCTTCTAAGCCTGAGGAAAGCCTGAGACAACCAAGATCTGTCTGGAGTCCATCTGAAACATCCCACCTCATTGCCTGGTCAACACTTGCAGACAGTGTTTGCTCTTCCCACTCCAGTTCCGTGTGCGCTGGGGCCGATGGCAAGAGATGTGGACAGCCTGGCCCTATGCATGAAGGCGCTGCTCTGTCAGGAGATGTTCCAGCTGGACCCCACTGTGCCCCCTATACCCTTCAATGAGGAGGTGAGTCCTTAAGTCAGCAAGCCCTGGTTCTTTTGAGGGTGCTGCACGCTCAAGGTATGCATTAAGGGTCCAGTTATCTTTATAGTACTGGTTTCCAGTAACTTGTTAGCTCTCTTTGAGGGCACAATCATAATTATTAGTAAAAAAATATAGGTTAATAAGTAGGTATCCTTTGTGCCCTTTCAGCTGGTGTGTAGTTTGTCAGATTGAGAGACCCCAGCAAAGAGTAGGGAAGAAAGCAACATCAGGAGCAAAAAGCTGGAGATTTGTAGGGCAAGATGAGACAGCATCCGAAACCCCTGCAGCAAATCTCTTGACTGACGACATTTCCTTTCGTGCTGCAGCAGATGAATTTCAGAAGGTTTTTCTACCCTTGTCCTTTATAAAAATAGTTGACTCTGCTGGCCTTGAGTGGCTGTGCTCTATCTGAAAGGAGAACTGAAGGGGAAACTGGAGAAGAAGGCAGGGGTGGACATTTGGACAGGGTAACTTATAGAAACTGTAAGCAGCAAAACAGAAAATTAGTTACTCCCCATCTTCTGGAGCTTTTATCTCTTTCTGCAGTAGGCTTCAGCATGGGGGCAACCCTCAGCAGGGTTGGAAATGCTTTAACTGGTGGCTCCTTTGCTCCAGGTGTACTCCAGCTCTGCTCCTCTGCGGGTCGGGTACTACGACACAGACGGTTACTTCCCACTGCCCCCTTGCATGCGGCGGGCGGTGCGGGAGACCCGGGATGCTCTGCAGGCAGCCGGGCACCAGGTGAGAACAACCACCCTGCGCTCTTCTCCCCGAGGTGTCCCCAGCTTTGCTCCTCACTGCTGAAATCACCCTTCAGAGACCAGACATAGCCCCAAGCCCAACTGTGGGATAAATGACCTACCAAAGATTCAGTATTGTTACTACAGCCATGTAATGCAAAGCAGATGCACGTACGCAGGGTAGCAGTGCATGTCACGGGGAAACAGCACTAGCAGTTAACAAGCTTGTACCTTCACAGGGACGGGGGTGTAAAAAATCCATCTCTGATCTCCTGGTAGCTGTGGTCCACGCCAGACAGCATCATCCATAAAGCACTGCATTTGACTCTGGAACATTACCCTGGGATTTTCTAGGTCTGTCCTTCCCCAGTAGAGCTCTGAGAGGTGTTTTTCCCCTTCTTCCCCAATGCCCATGGAGACCTCTGTTCCTCCTGGACCACTGAGGGAAAAGGGCCATAGGACATGGGATAGGAGACACCATTCCTCCATCTAGACCTACCTGTAGAAACATGCTGGTGGTGCTCCTCATAGCAAAGTGAGTCCATGTCTGAGTAGGTGTCAGTTCTGCTGAGACTGGCAGGAAACTGGTGCAGTTTCTGGTTTAGTGACTGCCTGGGGCAGGATGAAGGAGGAAACATCTCTGGAGAGATCTCAGAGCTGAGCCAAACGGCATCAGGGAGGAATAATCCCATGGGGAGATGCCTGGGCTGGTAAAGGATTGAACCGGGACCTCTGTTGGCATGTGGAGCCCGGTGCTGCTCTGCCTTTGAAGTATATCCCACAGTTGGGCCTTGTAAATTATTCAGATTCCCAGGCTGCCACATAATCTTGTGTTTTGGTGCAGCTGGTGCCCTTTTCTCCACCGGGGATCCACTATGTCATGACTGAACTGTTTTTGAAGACCTTTTTTGCTGATGGAGGCCATGCTTGGTTGGATGTGTTGTAAGTAGGAGCCCTCTGGCAGCAGTGCTGTAAAACAGCACCATCCATGAGCACAACGAGCACAATGCAGAGGCAAAACAAGCCTGTGTCTCCCATCCCAAACAGGAGATACTTAGGCTTCTTGAAAAAGGGCATACAGCTTCTCTGGCATGATCCCCTCCTCTTGTCGTGTCTCAGCACAGGAGATATTGTAGATCCAAACTTGAAATCACAGGTGAATTGCTGCAAGATCCCAAGACTGGGCAAGAAGCTGCTGGCTCTGATTCTTAAACCTCTGGTGAGTCCCTGACCTCAGGCTCAAAGCAGAGTGGTGTCAGCAAGGCCTTGAGATGCTTGAAAGTGTGATGATACTGAGAGACACTTTTAACTCCGGGATTTCAGGCTAAGGCACATGCTATCACTGTGGAAGATCTTTTCTAGACCCCTGCTGGGATTTATCCAGTACAAAGGGAAGTGGGAGAAGGACCAGCTAAGAGATGTAAAAAAGATTAATAAGAGCCCACAGAAAGTGGTTCTCCAAATGCTAGACCTGGCAGTGTCCAGTTTCCTACGGATTCATGCATTGGGATTACTGCAGCAGAGGGACTCGAGGTTGAAGATCTATCACTGTGTTGGGCACCTCACAAAGATGACACCTTCATGGGGACTCCTGGTGATTAATAAGGGCTGGCCCTCACTGTAGTCTTTTCACCAGCTGAGCATCCCTTTGCAGGGCTTCTCTGTCCTCCATTTTGTCTGCCTTTGTGTCCATTGGGGTTGTTCTCAGCTGACAGGGTCCAAAAGGCAACAGTGAGTGGGAGGCCATCAAAGTGCTTTTAAAGGTCTTGTTTCTGTGAGTTACGAAGCTAAAAAATGTTTGATTATTCAAAAACAATGAAAAGCAACCTGGTTCAAGTCAGTGTGTTTTGATGTGGGCAGGAAATATTGGCCTGTAAGAAACAATTTGGGAACCAACAACCAGAAGTTGGAAGCAAAGTAAATTCAGAATCACGAGGAGCATTTTTAATCATCATCATTCATCCTCAGGGCAGCATCCCCAGACACGGAGGCAGACCAGGACCAGGGGCTTCCAGGGGTGGCACAAGTTACAACACCCCCGTGTCATGTCCCTAACAGGAACCTCATGCTTTTCCAGTTTCCCCGCTTGGCTGACTACCTGAGCGCCTTGGGTGGAACGAGGTGAGAAGGCATCGTCCTCAGGGATGTCCATGAAAATGAACGGTACCTTCTCCTCTAAGTGTCCATTGTGGGGAGGACTGGATTCACGACAGGCTCTGTCTGAGCTGCTCTCTGCAGGGGCTCCATCCCGGACATGGAACACATCTCCGCAGTGTTGCGCTGCCCCAGCATTATCCTGAAAGGACTGCGGGGCTTGCAAGGACAAGGTCATAGAGGAAGCTTGGGGTGGAGATGAGTGCTAAATCCAGGCTCAGAAGGGAAACCTTCTCTACCACTTCCGGACATTGTTGCTTAATTGCTTCGCCAAATGCCAAAGGAAACTTTAGACAAATTTTGAAAAATGTATTGTTTTAATTAATTGCTAAAATCACTGGGCCTTATCAACCTTGAGGATTATTTAAACAATTGCTCCTCCGCTTAAAGCTTAAAAATGTTGCTACGATTTCCACTTGCAGGTCAGTGAAGGAGATGTGGAATCATCACCATCAAATAGAGGTATGTTTTGAGGACTTTTCTCTCTGGCATCATGCTATGAGTTGAGGCTTTGTGGCAAGTGACAGGTCAGAGGGTCATCGGTTAGGAAAGGGGTTGTGCAGAGGGAAAGGCAGAAAAGAATAGAAATGGGGTAGATGGGCTTTTGGATCAACTCAGCCAAGACTGTCAGTTGCCCAAATGCCCACATTTGACAGTCCTCGCACAACAAATGCTGTCCTGGGAGTGGGGATGGCTAAAGAGAGACTTTTCCAATTCCTGGCCAGTCTGACCATGTGCTGTGGAGGCAGACACTTAAACACTCCCCTGCCTCTTCCCTTGAGCACAGCTGCCTGCTGCTGCCTCCTTGGCCCTGCCAGAGCCTGGCACATACCCTGAAGAAGCTGAGACGCTCTAGGCATGGACATGGCCTCCATGTCATCTCCTCTCTCCTCCCCAAGGTGTACCGCACCGAGTTCATCGCCCAGTGGAGGAAACTCCAGCTTGATGTTGTGCTGTGCCCTGTCCTGGGGCCTGCCTTCACCATAGGATACCCCGGGAAACTCCTCAGTAAGTGAGTCTGGGACTTCTAAAGGAGGGCAGGGGACTGCAGTGGTTGAGACTGGACAGAAATATCTACTACCATGGAGCTGCACTGCCCACCTAAGCATTTTATGGGCATTGGGAAGGAAAAATAGCTACCCTAAAGCTATCCAAGCAGACAGACAAGACACATGGATGAAGTGATCTGGTGGCAGTTGTTTCTTGCAGTAGGACTTGGACCTGCAGATGACCAGCCCTGTGCAATCCCTCCTCCCAGCAGCAGCTGGTTCTCAGGGGTTTCAGTGAACATGTAAGTTTGAAAGGAGACAGGAGTCTGTGACTGCCTGCGTTCTCTCTTGTTTCAGCTGCCATCTCCTCCACGATGCTGTACAATGTCTTGAACTTCCCTGCTGGGGTTGTACCTGTCAGCACAGTGACAGAAGCTGATGAGGAAGAGCTAAAGCTTTACCAAGGATGCTGTGATGACCCCTGGGACCAGATGCTGAAACAGGTATGTGACACAGAAAGTGGTGGAGCAGAAACTGCTGATGAATGTTCAAGTAACTGAAATCAGGGGCTTCTAAATGTCTCCATCAATATGGGCACAGTGAAAAAAAAAAAATCACCTCTTCTTTAAATACCCTTTGCAAGTCCCTTTTCTTCCAAGAAAGAGTCACTAAGTCACTGAGCTTTGGAGGGACTGGGGGAGCACTCCCAGGCTGGATTATAGGCTGAGATCAGAAAGAAGCCGTGCAGCAAGACTTATTTGAGTAGGTCCTTGTGATGGCCACAGCTCACAGCACTGCACTGAACTTGCCTCCTGCTCCATGACACCTTCACCACACCAAGGCTGTCAGTGGAGAATGGATGAGGAATGAGGGTGGTGAAGGAAAAGAAATCTGGCTGCAAGACCGCTCAAAGCAGAGCTGGCTGGGGCTTGGGGGTGGGGGTGTCTTAAACACACTGCCCAAGATTTGGCATCATGAGAACAGCAAGAGCCTTCCCTCCGCCCCAGCACGCTAGCACTGCTTGAATGGCAGGGCTCAGCCTCCAACCCCCCACTCTCCGAGAGAAGCCACATGCCTAGACCATGTTTCCAAAAGCTGCTGGAGGCCTGAGCCCCACAGGTAACCTCTCACCACTTGTGCTGTCGCTCCAGGCCGTGGCAGGAGCCGTGGGGCTGCCCGTGGCTGTGCAGTGCGTGGCCTTGCCGTGGCAGGAGGAGCTGTGCCTCCGGTTCATGAAGGAGGTGGAGACCCTCAGCCGTGAGAAGAGAGCAGCATAGCTTTCATGGTCCCACGCCTGCAGGGCCAGAGGCGAGGAAACGGGACAGCCCTGCACTTCTCTTTTGCAACTGGCAATGCAGAAACTACACTGAGGAGGGAAGGAGGAAGGAAAAGCCATTTCCTGACTCCCCTCCTTGTCAATACGCACACATCCTATAAGGAACCAAGATGCCATGCAGAGGGCAGGACTGCTTAAGCTGGGTTCAAATAATGATAAATCTATGAACTCCACCTTCCTGGAAAGATGGACATTAATGGGGGTTCACCCTCATTTTCACCTGTGTTGACTTTTGACAAAGCAGGGTGATGCTGAGAGAAAATTATTACGATAGCTCAACAGTATTTTGCTGGTGCTGGAGTAACTTCATGTGGATGTAACGATGGGCTGCCCTGTAAAGAACACAGCCACGTCTACCCTCCCCATCACTGTATTTTGCTCACAAAAATAAAAATGTAGCTATTAAGCAATCCTTCTCATAAACTCCAGTAATCCTTCACTGATACCTATTATATGAATGCAGTTATTACTCAAAATCATACTAACACCTTCCCACTGGACACTAAATGGCATCTAGCATGGGAGCATTCACACCTTCCCTCTCAACCACAGCTTTCCTGTCTGTGAGGGATGGCAACAATCACTGGCCTTTCCACAGCATCAAGCTCTTTCCACCACCACACCACGAGCATGTTATTTCCAACCTCACAGCAGGGGCACTCTTAGCAGCCTCTTATTTCAAGACCTCAGGGTGCTCCTTCTGAAGGCAGGAGATAAGCAGACATGCCACTCAGTTATGCAGACAGTGAGATCTGGGACAGAAAGCCTGAGATGCCCAAATGGTGTTTGTTAACCCAAACCTGCTCAGGTAGGATGAAAGCAGTCAGACGGGAGGGAGAAAGCAGCACCCACACAGGGCCATCTACCCTGTCCCGAGACAAAGGGATAAATCACTCCCTCTGATAAGACCTCTCTCTCTTTCTTAAACACCTCAGCCTCAGATAAATATTCAGGAGACTCCACAGCAGGTTTTTCTCATTTATTATCTATGTCTGCAGTAAAAATGCAGACTTCCTTCGGGACAGTTTAGAAGGAAAAATAAATATAAAGCAGTTCTGCTTTCCCTGGAACTTTGGGATATCTCCTGACAACAAGCATAGTCTGTTATCCCTTCTACACCCGACATAATTTGCAGAAATACATAGGTCCAAAGTTGGCTGTGAGGTGAGGCAGAACAAGCTCCCCCAGCCGGCAATCCGAGAAGAAGGAAAACGTGTCCTGGAAGAGCGTCCGAAAGTGGCTCAAGTCCTCAACGTGGATACTGATGTTAAACTGGGTTTCTGCAATTTCTACTGCTCTCTCAATCACGTGCTCATTCTGCAGCGGGGAGAGGGAGCACGTGGAATAGACAACCTTTCCTCCCGGCTTGGTAGCGAGGATCCCAGCCCTGCAGGCAAGATGAACACACACACCATCACAGGCAGAAGAGGACTGTGTGGGACACCAGCATTCCCACCCACTGAAATTGGGAAGCCAGCACATAACTCATAGGTGAGAGACATATCACCTTGAACCCCACAGGCTCAGCAGTCTCACTGTGTCACTGCAACTCGAAGACTGTTTTAGACCAGGATAGTATGGGTCAAATAGATGCTTAGATTGATAAAGTATTTAACATGGGATTGATGCTAATGGTGAGCAGCTGGAAGGAGTAATCCTGCACTCACCTCCAAGAGAAGGCGGTAAGAGTATGTACAAGGGAAGAGGCTCTTGTAGTTCAAACACTGCCATGGGACTCTCTAATCTGTTTCTTTATTGCCCCAGCTCACAGTCAGCCCATCCAGCCTTCCCAGCGAAATGGGGTGACAAAGCGTCCCCTGTCCTCCCATGTGCTGGGACATGTGGACACTCAGGAATCCTGAAGGGCTGACAGCTGGGACCCAGGAGATCATCACACAAAAGAACCACACTACACCCATCCTGTTCCTTAGACCTTCCTCCCTATCTCCTATGGCTACTGCTGGGGACAGGAAGGACATTTGATCTGACTGAGAACATCTGTACCTTCTTACACTTGTTATGATTTGATGTGTTCAACTACTGCCATTCCAGAAAACCACACATGCTTTCCACATTCCCCAGCCAGGGACACATAAAGTAAGAAGAGGTTTCCGTGCTGGCCATGGAGAGCTGCTAACGTAACACAAATGGCACTAACACACAGCATCGAGCTCACTCACATCAGCAGCTGCAGCTGCAGCATGGGCAACATCTGACGCTCTTTGGTTCGTCTCTTGTGGAAGATGTTGTTCTCCTCCTCCATGACAGAGTGCCTGTCTGTCGTGCAGGGCACATCCACCAGGACCTGTGGCAGCAGAAGCCCTGATCAGAACTGAGAGTCTCCCATAGCAACCTGCCCCTTGCCCAGCTCCCCCACCCTTGCCACACACCAAGCAGCTCTCGGTACTGTGCCTAACCATTGCTGCCCGAGCCAGCTGTGCCCTCACACTGAACTGTAACTCGTCTGGCTGCTTTTGCACTTCAGGAATATGCAAACAGACACAGAAATGGTGGGTAACATCACGCTCTCACATAAGTCCTCATTTAAGGTTTCTACTCTGCACGTCTTCCTGGTATAGGCGTTACTGCAGCACCTACAGCTGCAACCACACATGGCCAGAGCTCCCACAGTGACACCTCCTGGAGTAACAAACCCAGCTCCCACAGCTGGACATGGCTGAGAAACAAGAACTATCTCATCTTCACATTTAACCCCTTCCAGGTGATGGATTAGAACAGGATTTTTAAGGGGTTTTACACAGGTAAATAAAGGTCCAACTCCAGATGCCCATATGCACCAGATGCTGCAGAAAGGGTATAGCAGGAGGAAATCATACCATACATGTGGCTTAGTTTTCTCTCTTTATCTGCATTTAAGATTATGAAAAACTGTAAAATTATACTGTAGGATAAGTTGCTGTCTTCCTCTGAAACAGGAGGAAAGTGAACTGGATGGGTTTATCTTCATGGGCTCCTAATCACTTACCTTATGGAAAGTGCCACCTCCCAGCTGTTCCCAGTCCCTTCCGTCGCAGGATGTGACACTCACCGCTTTCCTTATTTCTGTGGGAACGTAGTTATAGAGAATCTGGTGCAGCCTCTTCGTCCGGCAAATGGAGACGTCATTGGCTGCCAGATGCCCTGAAAGGACAAAACAGGCACACTGGGAATGTCACTCTTGCAAAACCACACCTGATTACCAACTCTTACAACCAGAAATTATAACGGTCAGACATTAGTGCGTACAGCACACTCTTCCAGCCCTGTTTTATGGATGGGGACAGGGACCACCCACCTCCACTTACCACAAGCCCCAGTCTGCAGCAGAGCCAGAGTCTTGCCACCTGGAGCCGCACAGAGGTCAAGGACAAAGTCATCTGGCTGCACATTGAGCGCCAGGACTGGCAGAAGAGATGCTGCGTCCATGAGATAATAGTTGAGGAGCCCCAGAATGTCTGGCCTGGAAATCACCAGTTTGTGTAAAAAAAAAAAAAGCAAACACGCAAACACGCAAGGGGAAAAGAAAACAGCAGTTGAAAGTGGGGATGGGGACACACAGGAGCAGCAGGTGCTCACACACGTGCAGCCCCTGAGGCTGGCAATGACAGTGGGCGGTCTGTCCCAGGGATGTCTCACCGTGCAGGGCGAAAGCGTGTGATGTCACCCCTGGGGAAGGTGTAACACTTGATCTTGGAGCTGATGGAGGCATGACGTGGTGGTGACATCTCTGCCTGTGTCATCATCTCTGCCTGCATCACTATCCTGCCCTCACCAAACCTCTCCTGGGACCTGCTTTCTTCCCCTGTCCCCGTCTCCTCCTCCGCTGCACTCCCCTGCGATCGCTGCGCCTTTTTGCAGGCTTCAGAAACAAAATCGGTGGCATTCAGCAGTTCCAGCTCTTGGGTGATGTGGTCGAGAGGACAGAAGTTGTTGAGGAGGGCACCGTACTTCCTCTCGCAGAGCAGGCCGGCGCGGACAGAGGGCCACAGCTCCTTCAGCTGCAGGCTGTAGTTCATGTCGAAGTGGTGCAGGGCCAGCCGCGTGGGTGGGATGCGGGAGGCCGTGGCAGCCTTGGGGGAAAAAAATATCAGAGCAGTTAAAAGACAAAATACCTTGAGATCCCAGTGCCACCCCCTTCCCAGGCTCAATGTTTTTCTGGGAAAATCCAGCGCCCTGTTCTCTGCTGCCAAAAGTCCCAGGGGCCTTTCTGCAACCCCTGAAGGTGACTGTGGCCCCACCACCCGTGGGCTGGTGGTGCCCTGGGGAGGGTGGTGTAACAGGGGTGTAACGGGTGAGGGGGTGCTACAGGGTGCTGCGAGAGAGGCAAGGGGGTAAAACAGGGAGATCAGCGGGGCACAGTGGGGTGCAAAGAGGGTCAGAGGGGCGAAAAGAGGGGGTGCAGGGCAGC